AAAGTACAGGTGTTTCATTCCGACCATGAATGAATTTAGTCCCAAAAGCGATGCCAATCCTTGTTGCTCGGCTACATTCGATATTAAAGTAAGCATGGTTGATAGTTACAATATTTTCACGAGACAACACAACAACCGTTTTATTACAATTGTACCTACTTATCTAGAAATTAAGAGACGATAATTATAATTGGTATCCGTAATATTTTGTCATGAAACTCATATAAAAAAATACGATTTCCTATAATGAATTTCTAAATAAACTAACGCTAGCTTGCTAAGGCTACAAGCACCTTTGAGTATCTACATCAACCCTCCTATAAAAAGTTGTGAGGCTTGATAAACCCAATCGATAATCGAAAATGTTTGGTTACGTTACGACACAATGGGGTAGAGGTTGCTGCAATAGTATAATACAATACTAAAGTACTTAGCGATAGGTACGTATTAATCGATAGTACAGTCAGGAACTAACAGCTATTCTTGTTCTATATTTAACGATCTTAATCGTATAAAAAATAAGGCATTGTTACCGTCAACATGTAGCTATCATCGACTTCCTTGACTATCAAATCTATTTTTGGATTTTTGCATAATATCGTCAACTCGATTAAATTTTGGTGATTTATTCTGAAAGTGTCGAAACAAATTATACGATATTTTAAAGATTATATTTTTTGCTGATGATATTTTGTTTTAATTTAAAACCCAACAATGAATTCGTACATTTACTCAAAATTATAATAAAATCAGTGGTAAAGTTTTCCTATGTCAAGCACTTAGGGAAAAAATTCTTAAATAATAAAACACAAGAACTATACTTATAAAAGTTTATCTTATATTTAATAAAATACATAACAATATTAAAAGTTTCGTACTTATTACTTATAATTGAGAGTACTTTTAAGGGGTCTCGAACTACCCCATCGTCAATCAATTATCACGTAAAATTAAATTATACAGAATGCTCCATTTACATTGGTCCAAAAATTTTTTATAGTTTGTGGACTACATCTCAAATCACATAGTATAAACATTTGTTTAGCAAAATCAGTAGTTTAGAAGTGAAGATTTTATTTTGTGCTTTTTTGAAAATGTATAGCATTAATTTGCAAATAATTGAGATAATTCTGAGATAAGGTTTAGTTGAAATCACTTTTTTTAAATTATTGATTTTTGTAATTCATTCTTTTCTTTACTCTATAAATACCAAAGTATGATACCATTGTTCAAATTTGTATGGAAGGTGGCAGTCAGTCTCCGGCAGACTCCAAATGATCAGGACATGTAGTGCACTTAATTGTAAATCGTGTGACAAAAAACTAGATTTTTAAATATAATTGTAATAAGAAATAATTATTGTAATATGAATTTATTTTGTATAAGTTGACAAAGTATGAAATATATTCTGTTCAATAGGTAGACGAAGCAGTTTTTTGTTGCCACATAATTAAAATATGACGTTACTTAAGACAGGTGGCCAGCATCCTTACCGAATTGTTTAATTTTTAAACACGATTTAAAATTAATCGAAAGTAAATAAAAATTTAAAAGTAAATGTTCATGTTATAATATAAAACATGCTTTCAAATGATATACTTAAGTTTCGTCGCTGCCTGAAACCGACTACCACTTTTGAACCTTCTCCTTTCATGTCATTAGGTGGAGTAAATTTCAAATAAAAGTGATGGATGTGATTGAAGTAAAGAATTAAAAAAAATACAAATAAAACGTAACTTCTAAGTCTTACTACGATTTTAAGTAAAGAATTAAAAAAAATACAAATAAAACGTAACTTCTAAGTCTAACTACGATTTTAAGTAAAGAATTAAAAAAAAATACAAATAAAACGTAACTTCTAAGTCTAACTACGATTTTAAGTAAAGAATTAAAAAAAAATACAAATAAAACGTAACTTCTAAGCCTAACTACGATTTTCGCGAAAGTAATGTTTGTTTTTTAATAATTTGTCATGTAGTCCTCCACCTTAAAAAAAATATGGACCACTGTAAATGGACCATTCTGTATAATGAACTTGATATCTCACCCGGTGACTAGTGACTTAATAATGAGAAAAGTGATTAGTTTTTAAGAAATGAGTATCTAATTTAGTTTTCTATTTTTTTTTCTGTTGATAATATTTTAGTTTAACATTATGCGATGAGTGTCGGATTAATACGAATACCTGCCTAGGCTATATTTGCATTCAAATAGAATACCTAAAAAAATCTTGAGATTCTTATAAAGCTATAAAATGCGCCATACCTGCAAAAATGGCAGCAAAGCAGGCAAAGTTATAATTTCGCTTTGTTTGACTAGAGTTTTATAATCATCACTATTATATCATAGCAACACGAGTACCTGACATAAATATAACTAAAGTGTTTGCTATAAAAAAAAATGCGTGTTGTGTTTCAAGCAAACAGCGTTGTTGATGTACACATAACATGGTTGTTGGAGTCTCCTTCCCGTCTAGAGGCGATTCGGAAGGTTTTATTACATTGACAAGGCGCGTCGCAATAAAAACAATGCAAGGTAATTGAACGCCCTTACTCCCGGTCCCTAATTGCACGCCCGGAGACGATTCCCATGCGCACCCTCAGATCATCACCATAGACATAGCTGTTATGCAATCCTAATCAAAATTCCAGAAATTACAATCACGAAATGTCAGCAATATACGGATGTTATTACATTGACGCACGCTAATTCAACAACGCTGGCAGGTGTCCCGAATAAAATTGAGATACTTATGGACTCCCCCAGCAAAGTATCCTAGGTCCGATAAATATACATAATATAAATATTTTAAGTGTTGAGACAAGTAATCATATTAGATCATAAAAGGATATAAGAACTACTTTTAACGAAGGGATTTTCATGCAGTTTTCACCATCGGTAAGCAAATTTTTCACACATGAAAGGATTTTATATTTAAGACCTACGCGATTTACAGTATATTCTGTAATTTTATGCACTAATAAAATCTTTGGGCATATAATGAGAACAATATCAATTACATATTCTGAAAATGGCTTCGCACTGAACTACTTTTTACTTTCATTACTCGATAGATGCAGACTAAGCTTATTTTTATTTCAAATAGACTTAATGAAACAAAGGCGCATCAAGAACAAAATAATACAGCAGAGAACAAGTTTATCATTCAATAATTTCAAGTTGTAATCATAAGTTCTAAAAGTTTTAGCGTGAAATTCAAATTCAAAACCCCGGTTAGAGAGATCGCGCTGAATGACGCGCAGAATCGTTTTAATCCGCGCAATCTCGGTTATGAATAAAACGCATGTGAACCAGAGTCAGTAATTGGGTGCAACCGAGTGTTGTAGTATGGTATAGTGCAGTAATTGATACTGCGGCGGCTGAGTAGCGGTTCGCAGCGTGTGCGTCGACGCCCTTCGTGTTCGGTGTTTGAAGTACTTGTAGAATACAATTCTTGCCATAATACTTGTAAACGATTGAACGCAATTCAGAAATATTGAAAATCTATCACTGTTTTCAATGATTATTAAAAGCATTGTTCTTCGAGATTAAAAGCCACAAGCCCAGACATAAGTCACTGAATTGTCTACACTGCGTCGAAGGAATGGCACTGGTTTAAGTATATCATAAAACGGCTCTGTAATAATCGACATAGTGATTTACAATTGCACGGAGGTATCGATATACTCTGGGGTTCAGAAACCCACCATTTTGCAAAACACTTAACCAAAATAACGTTTTTTTCTTTTTTGTTCCTCTTCATGTCGATGTTAGTTTGATTGACAATATTTTATTCAATTTGTCGTCAGTCGAATTTAATGGAGTCATTCTGTCGAAACGTGAGGCGGAGACGGATTCGCTTCCACGCACGGATGTTGCAACGGTTACAGTTAGAAACGATGTTATCGTGTGTTAATAGTTAATGGCTTAAACTCTTAAACTCCGCCTGTCGAATCAATAAATCAAATGGCATATAATGGTTTATGGAAAAGGTGCCCGGAGGCAAAGATGTAACTTAAACTCTACAGTGAATACTATTACTGATGTTGCTACTGCACTTAATTATATTGGTAAAAACTATTATTACCTATGAATAATGTTTCATTAAATCGACTTTGAAGTCTGTAATAAAACTATCAACAAAAGTGGGTCGTAGATTTTCATAAAATAATTGGTGCCCTTTCCCTGACTGCATATTGATACGAAAAACTATAACTCTGCGATTGATAGCTTTGTAAGAAACTTAAAAGCTTCAAATTGCGTTATGTTGAAATTGTTTTTTATACTACTTATTATAATTTTAGAAAAACAAAACGAAGTAAGTCGTTGAACCATTTCGTGTGGACACGTATAATGTTTTGTTTGGGTTTGCTTTAATGTCACCAAATTTCCTAAAACAAAAAATATGTTGAACTAAGTTTTTTAACTTATTACGCGAAAATTGTAAAATTATAGAAACTAAAATTAACTAACTTATAGAAATTAAAATTATGTTCTCCATTAATAAGGATAACTACTGATTATAAAAAATATTTATGTCTCTTTTACAATAGTCTAAGGTTTAAGGTGTCGGCTTACTTTTTTACAAGAATTATCTATGATATGGAATCACAATTCCTATTTTGTTTAATTAAGATTAAATATCACATTAGTTCTTTTACTTTCCTTAAATTAATATATGAAAGTAATTGTATCATATTATTAGAATATGAATTAGGCAAAATTTTATTAAAAAAGATTGTGTCGAAAAAAAAAATATTTTTAAATTTGTTTGAGGCATTATAAATTTCCTACTTCTTAGTTACAATTTAAATCAAATAAGTAATAATAATAGTTCATAATTTAGCTCGTTAATTATTATAAATTCTATAGTTTCGATAAATTTTATAATACCAACTAGTTAAGTTCCATATTTTTTATGTAAAAACATATTCCTTAAATATAAATTATAATATTGCAAAATCTAAAAAAAATCACATAAATCTTAATTAGAAACTTACCAAGGCAATGTTTACAACGGCGAACCATCGTAAAATCTGGATTTTCATAGACATTGTATAGTCACGTTCACATAAACTTGCTGCAAGGGGCTATACGGAGTCCGTAGCAACCGCACGACCGCGATACAAGACGTTACCCGCCAAACTAACTAAAGCAAGACCGTAAGCAGAAGCACCGTGAGAGCTTTGCGAATACGCTGACGACTGAATGGCCCACTCCACGAGGGAGAGATGGGAGGGACGAACGTAGGGGAAACGACATCCTCCGGTAATTCACTAAGAAAAGTTATTTGCAGAGTCGCCTCGGGATTTGTTCGGTCGCGATAGAAAAATGTGAGCGATATCGTTTCGGCGACGCGAACATGCGTAGTTTTGATCTTAACAAATTTGGTTTTTGAGTACTGAGCTGAATTCTTTTTATCTCCATTTTCATAATATGAAATCAATACACTTCCGTTACCATGGACGTTTAATTTAGCCGTAAGTCCGTAACATAACGTATATGTAAATTAACTAATCCAAAATCAAGTCCATCATCTTGAGCTTTTTCTACTTAATTTTGCAGGTATGCTCTTATTGTGTGTAAATTAATTTAAATATATATTATTATATTTAAACAGTGATGGATGTGTATATCATTACTCTGAATATGGATAAATAAATAATAATAAATATTTCCAACTAGCCTAGCCCCAAAGTAAGCACTATAAGGCTTGTGTTATGGGATACTAGGGTAACGGATAGAATACATATACTTTACTTATATAAGTAGAATATATAATAATTAATGTAGAATATATATTAATTAATATCAATTATAGAAATACATATTAAACATCCATGACTGGAGAACAAATGCTCGTGTTCATCACACAAACATCTGCCCCCACCGGGATTCGAACCCGGGACCTCTCGAGTCGGCGACGCCATGAAACCCGGCGCACAAACTACTCGGCCACGGAGGTAGTCGGATGCAATAAGTGGCGAGAAAAATATTTTCCTTTTCATCATCCGTTTCATTTATTCGATGGTAGGACGTTAAATTTGGCAAGCAGAGGGTTATATCTTACTGAAACAATTGTATTAAAAAAATGATTATCAGGAAATAAACTCATTAACAACAATATACTAAAAACATAACATCTTATCTCATATTTTTTATTTATGTATGTACTAGATTTGAGCGCCAGTACCTTCGCTTTTCGAACTGCCAACCAATTATGCTACCGGGAGCTTAACCGATGGATCCCATTCTTTTTACGTGGTCTCATTATGATTGTTCTTTTGTTACACAACAGCATTACGTACTGCAAACAACAGAGACTCCAAGGCTAAGTCCACATTACAAGGAGCCTCGCTTGGTGCTAAGAGACAAACTACTCGCAGAGTGACTATCAAACTACCACAGATTTGTTAAAGGAAAATTGGTTAGTTTTTTGACGTGACAACGTCTTAAATTAGGTTGCGGCTGGGAGTCACTTATGAAAAAGTGTAACGCTCGGTAACGTTACGATGAGTCTCTCGTGTTAAGTTTAAGTTTACATGTACAATGTTTTAGTAAACAAAATATATTTCTATAGTTAAAATTTGTGCAATTCTTATTTTCATTCAATTCCTTGTTCCTATTGTGCAATTTAATTATATTCATATCAATAAATATTCTACCGAGAAAAAGACGTTGTCACGTAAAATCTTCGCCCGTAAAACCGACTTTTTTTTAATATTTGCAACCAGCGGCGAATTCTGCTGGGTTAATTTTTATTTTTTGATAATTCTCAGGTAACTTAATTTTTTCCGGGATAAAAAAATATCTATATCGCAATCCATGTAATAAACTATGTGTGCCAAACCACTGCCAAAAAATATACTTTCACATTTATAAAATTAGTACCTAGGATGAACTTTGATGATGATTGAGAGCTGAATATTTGCGCTGCTTGGAGCACTCTGCAGAGGCCGCCTCCGCGCCTGCAGCTAGGGAGGTACTATATGTATGGCACAGAACAAGCGTATCCACGCAAGTAGCGTCCAATACAAGAGGACGACCCTGCTTCCAAGGAATGAGCGTCATTTCGTCAGGTCTCTTGCCATCGTCTCGGAAGATGCCACTAGGCTCTAGAACCGCTGGCACATTGACAGCGACAAGAGCCCTGCGGATGACATCATTGATGCAGGCGTGGCGGGAGACTCGCCCAGCGCTCATTTGGCATTAGAGACCATGGCGTCCCAATGCACCGACGCAGGTTCCGTAACGATAGCGATGGAGATGATTGGTCTTGACGCTAAGTCTAAGTGAAATAGCAAGCGATAGAGTGCTTCTGTCAAGAAAAGTTCCGGTATTGGCTAAAGTAAGAGTTTGCAAACAGTAACCAGACTCTACCTGAAAGACCGCTAGGAGGCTAGCACGCTCAGCTGCGTTTTCAGAGCAAACAGAGTGGCTCGTCCCACTGCCTCTGAGAAGATGAGGAGAGTGGTGGATCTACTCTCGGGCATGCCCTACACCAAGCTTCTCTGGCCTCTGCAATTCCTTTCAGATTTTCACGTTATTATTGACAAACTCAAAAATATTGGCCCAGGCCAATATTTTAGAATTTGTTTGCTCGCATTTTACATAATTTAGATCTAGATCTACTACTACTCATTCCAGAATCCATTCAAAAGCTCCACTACGCTTAACAAAGGACATAGTATTTTATTAAAGATCTCAACTGTACCATGTGCAGAAGACAGAAAAGCTGGAAGGGCAATACGTGAAATATGACAAGTACCTAGTCCTTTTTTTTATAGATAGGTCCCCCACCTAATGTTAAGTGAAGGCGAAGTCCAGACGCGAAGATAGCTGATACAACAGTTCTACCTGCCCCACCAGGCATCCTCACCCTGCCGGCCTGCATGTTGCTTCTTCACGCCTCTTTTAAAGGATCCCAGGTTGTAAAAGGCAGGGAACACGTGAGCGGGCAGAGCATTCCATTTACGGATAGTGCGACAAAGAAATGAGTCACCAAATTTCTTTGTACGCGTTGGAATTGTGGCCACAGTTAGACGGTGACAACGTAGGCCAGCGCGCGTGGTCCTCTGAAGGAAAGGAGAAGGTGGGATAAGAGAGAATAACTCCTCAGAACACTCGCCGTGGTACAGACGATAGAACGCGCTTAGTGACGCCACGTCACGGCGTAATTGAAGAGGCTCAAGGTGTTTAGTCACTTCCTCATCGCCTATGATGCGGATCGCGCGCCGCTGTAACCTATCCAAAGCATCGAGCAAGTACTTGGCGGAGCCATCCCAGAGATGCGACTGCGAGCAATATTCCAAGCAGGACCGCACTTGCGTTTTGTACAACAAGCACAGTTGATTGGCCGAGGTACCACGCATGCACTGTACTATCGTCTGCATAGCAATGAATATTCCCAAGAGGAATTAAGTCATTGATATGCAGCAGAAAGAGAGTGGGGGATAGGACGGAGCCCTGGGGAACGCCGGCATTCACTGACATGAACCGCGAACTGCTACCATCCGTAAGAACATGAATTCTACGCTCATGTAGAAAGTCAGCTACCCAAGAACAAAACTGGGCTGGCAGACCGTATGCCGGAAGCTTGGAGAGAAGGCTTTTGTCCATACCCTGTCGAACGCCTTGGCAATGTCAAGGCTGATAGCCAACGACTCGCCACTCTTGTCGATAGCCTCACCCCAGATATAAGTTAAGTACGCTAGAAGATCACCCGTCGATCGTTTCGGTCTAAAACCATATTGACGATCATTAATCAGGGAGTGATCCTCTAGGTAGCGGGTCAGATGGTTATGAAAGACTTTTCTAGAACTTTACATAAAACTGAGGTGACTGCTATTGGCCGGTAGTTTGCCGGGTCTGAGCGATCCCCTTTTTTGGGCACCGGTTGCACATTAGCATCTCTCCAAGTCTCCGGCACACGCCCCAAAGAATACAAGCATTGGTACAAGCGCGTGAGCACGGGAGACAACTCCGCTGCACATTTTTTTAAGTACTACTGCTGGGATGCCATCAGGTCCACTAGCTTTCCGGACGTCTAGTGATTGCAATTCGGCACGAACCTCGCGCTGCCTGATTTTAATATCAGGCATCGTTGTGCCACAGTGAGGTAATGATGGTGGCAGTGCATTGCAATCATCGATTCGGGAGTTAGCCGCAAAGTGTTTTGCCAGTAAATCGGCTTTCTCCTGCGGCTTATGGGCTAGTGTTCCGTCTGGGCATCTCAGAGGTGGCAGCGAGGGCTCGCAGAAGTTTTTTTGCACGGCCTTGGCCAGACGCCAGTAGCTACGGGAGCCCGTAGGATGCGTCATAAGTTCCTGGCCAACACGTGCAACGCGCTGGGCATCCGCTCTGACGTAAGCCTTCTTACAGGCCTTGAAAGCAAAATTGTAGGCTGCTTTGAGTGAATCGACCTCGGGATCCTTGAGAGCGCGGCCTCTGATCCAAGCACGATATGCCGCTTGCTTACGCGAAGCAGCTTCAGCACAGTCGTGATTGAACCAGAGGTTACGTGTGCCCTTACTGATGAGATCGGAATGAGAAATATAGTATTCCATACACATTATAATCTCCTCAGTAATGGCAACGGCACTGGCCGATAGGTCCCTGTCACTGAAGCAGTGCTGCTTCCAAGGGACGGACGCAAAGTAGTCACGCATACCGTCCCAATCTGCCGACCCATAATGGCAGATACGGCGCTTGACCACTGCAGGACGCGGAGGCTTGACCTGTGGTGCTTTGGCAGATATCAGGCAGTGGTCTGACGAGCCCAGGGGGGCTTTTACCACAACCTGATAGCCCTGTAGATGGGTCGTGAGCAGAAGGTCCAGTAAAGAAGGCGCTTGACTTGGAATATCTGGGATCCTGGTGGGCTGATCAACCAGTTGCTTCAAGTCATGCGTAAGAGCGAATGCGTGAGCAGAGATCCCCGCATGGTCAGTTTTGGAAGAACTTAACCACAAATTGTGGTGAGCATTAAAGTCCCCCAAAAACACCAATTCTGCATTGGGAAATTGTTCCTGCGCGTCATCTGCTGCCCGACTAAGGTGCTCAAAAAGTCGAGTTGTCTCAACATCGCCGGTGTGGGATCTGTAGAGGCACACGTAAACTCTGGCCAGGGGGCTAGAGTCGACGTGTACCCCCAGC